TCTAGCTGCAGAATGCCTATAATCCCAGTGGGCTGACCTTGGGCCCCCTGTTGGCCATCCGTTCTCTCCCAATATACATACAGCTATATATCACTCTGCTTCGAGTTATTGATACAAGGCTCTGCACGGGTTAACGTTTAGAGTAACGTGAAATGACTCTACTCCAAATCGCAGTTGCTGCTTTTCCCGATACGCCTGTGCTATTGTGCGCAGTCGTGGTGATTTTCCTTCTTATTCTATGGAAGCAACTTAAGACTAACGGACTACCTCCGGGTCCCTGGGGTTTCCCAGTGGTCGGAGTTCTCCCCTTCCTTGGGACAGACCCTCACCTCGTCATGGTGGGATGGGCTAAGAAGTATGGCGACATATTCAGCGTTAGATTGGGCACCAAGACAACCGTTGTATTGACCGGTTATGAAGCTATCCGAGATGTGTTTCAGAGAAAGGGAGCGCTGACTTCTGGAAGACCGCGTATTCCGACTTTTGATTTTCTCCATGGGAAAGGTGAGTGCCCGTTGGACTGCACTGCGCTCTTTAAGTTGTGTTAAGAAGTGACTTACGGGACCTATTTAAGGGCGACAATACATATACTGTCATCATGTCAAATCAATACATTCAAAACCCTTAAAGAAAAAACTTCTGGGTTTATTGTACTCAAATATAAACGGAGTCATATCAATATTTAAATTTGAAAATATGTTATCTGTCTGATGTAATGGAATTGTTTACTTGGGCCTTTACAAACTACAGTGATACTAAAAATCTATTGATATATCACCGATATATCTGATGGGAACATTTCCATCATTTTTCGTCTAACGCTACACCATACTCAAGTCTGAAGAATGCTTAAAGCAATAATAACTCTTCCTTTGAGATTCAAAATTCCGCATGAAATACATTGTAAACAACGCATGGAAATATATTCTATTGTATTTTACCACTAAAACGGCCGTTATTGTAGTAAAACTAAATTCTGTGCTTGTCAATAGGGCTTTCGATGCATTTCTTCCGGTCATCAAGGCATTCGTTGCTAATGACGTAATGGTGTCACGCGGATTCTCGCGTTCATTCGAGACCAAAATAACATATGGCGCGAAACGCGAAACATCTGTACTAGTGACAAGAAAAAAACAACTACATTTGATTATGATTCATTTGGGCGAATTACGACGAAAAGTGTNTTAAAGCAATAATAACTCTTCCTTTGAGATTCAAAATTCCGCATGAAATACATTGTAAACAACGCATGGAAATATATTCTATTGTATTTTACCACTAAAACGGCCGTTATTGTAGTAAAACTAAATTCTGTGCTTGTCAATAGGGCTTTCGATGCATTTCTTCCGGTCATCAAGGCATTCGTTGCTAATGACGTAATGGTGTCACGCGGATTCTCGCGTTCATTCGAGACCAAAATAACATATGGCGCGAAACGCGAAACATCTGTACTAGTGACAAGAAAAAAACAACTACATTTGATTATGATTCATTTGGGCGAATTACGACGAAAAGTGTACATTACTGTTTTCATATTTCACATTCATATTGATAATTTAACAGCAAATGATATATAGACAATTCATTTCCTTTTAGTGATTTCTCTCCTACCAAAAAAAGTGTCAACCCTACCGCATTTATGTACATTGTCTCAAACTACGTCTACTTTGTTTTCCAAACGTATTTCGAATACTGCAACTGTTTTAATTTTAGGTTTTTTATGCACCGATTACTGTACGAGGCAGAGGACTCAGCGAGAATTTACCTTAAAATACCTAGCAAAAGCTGACACCGAGAAGCAAACTGAAGATGAGATTGACGCTCTGCTTCAATACATCCGCAATAAAAATGGCGAACCGTTCGATTTCAACAGCACCATCAGTGCCACTGTATCCAACATCATAGGTAGCATTCTGTTCGGAGGCAGACAGGAGTACGATGATCCAGATTTCAAACATTTGGTCGATTCATACCATGCTGCATCCAGATTAAGCGCCCAGGCCTCGTTTCAGAATTTCCTGCCATTTCTTTCGTTTTTACCGCAATGTAAAAATGGAAACGAGGCTTGGAATGTATTTGCAAGCCAAGTCAAATGTTTGCTAGATCAGCACAGATTGGGATATGATCCAGGCGCCACGAGAGGTTTGGTCGATGCTTTTCTGCACCAATCAAATCAAGGAGACTCGGATAATTCTTTTGCATTTAATGATGAGGATCTAATAGCAAATTGCCAGACGCTCTATCTCGGGGGATCGGAAACAACTTCAACGACACTAACTTGGGGAATGCTGTACCTCTTATCTTACCCTGACGTCTGTGAAAAGATCCATGCAGAATTGGATGAAGTCGTAGGAAACACACGACGCCCCAGTCTTGCCGACAGGCCGCATCTCCCCTATGTTAACGCTACGCTAATGGAAATACAACGCTGCAATTATATTGGACCGCTGTCGCTTCCTCATAAAGCGATACGTGATACCACTATTAATGGCTACGTGATCCCTGAAGGAACGACAATCATGGCAAACTTTTGGTCTGTGTTCATGGATGAAAAAAATTGGTCCAATCCTCGTGAATTTCGACCTACAAGGTTTCTAGACGAAGATGGAAACTTGAAAAAGATTGAGGCTTTCATCCCGTTTTCCCTAGGTAATATTTTGAAAAAACCCTAAACCTTATGGCATTTATTCTATTTTATTAGCCTTTTTTTCAATACGTGATTTGCCCCTTCTGAGCTGTTGGCATTTTCAGATGATCCAGTGAATTCTATTTTCCGTCCCAGTCGCCTATTGTAACAATGATAAAATCAATTAATGGAAATATCCCTTTCTGTTTTCATTTTTAATAAGGTAAGAGGAATTAAAGACACGATGACATATACAATGTTGTGAAGTGTCATGTAAGCGTGATCAGTATACTTTATAACAGACAGATTTTCTTTTCTTTGTATGCAAATTAAGACCTGTGCATGCGTTAATTAAATCAAAACATAAAAACATCTTCACATCTCCATTCAAATACAAATACTGATATCTTTATTTGCTGTTTAAGGAAAACGCTCCTGCCCTGGAGAGACTGTTGCTCGTCAGGAAATGTTTCTGGTCATTGCTGCCTTGGTTCAGACATTCACCTTCCACGTGCCAGAGGGAGAGGCGATTCCAGATCCAGATGGTAGCTTAGGACTCCTGTACGAGCCCCCAAGATACCGGGTATGTGCCAGACCAAGGGACTGATTTATGTTTCGACTCCTCATCACCGGGGTTGCGGTTCGTTTCGCTTACCTGCTGTGAGGATATGTGGAAGAGTACATACGTAGAAATAAATTCTGAAATCCTGTTACCTCGATGAATATATACGGGCAGATCCCTCTAATATTTTTGGCCGTTTCATTTTGGGGAGCAAACAGCTGTTTAACTTTTTTAGCTTGTGTGTTTGTGGGTTAAATAACATAGTGAGTTGAATTCAGCCGATGACCAAAATCAGTAAATTAGTTTTGGAAAACAATTCACATATTCATTTTGCCGAACATCTTGGTGACAAACAGACAAAACTGAAAGCTGATTACTTAATGTCACAAGCTCTCTCTGCCAATGAGATGTTTTCCTTAGTTAATGAAATGATCAAAAATGGTACAGAAAAATGGAGAAAATACACCTCATCTCCCCCCCCCCCCCCCCAAAAAAAAAAGCAATGACTTAAAATCACGTACTTTCCTTTTCAAATATTTGGCAGAATTAAGAGGAAAGAAATCTTTTGACTTTTCAGTCAATGCATCCTGCTATTTATCGCATTTACACTTTTGAATACCGCAATATATAACATACCATAATACAGTGATAAGTAGTTGAATTATATGCATATCCGGGTTTTTTAAAAGGCAGATACCCCTGTCTGTTAATTATGGTGATTTAAACTATGGGTTCAATTACTATAGAACCATGTCGGATACTTCTTTGTTTTTGCATATTTTTTAGTTTTTTCGCATATGTAGCCTTCAGGCCATATGGCAGATAAAGATTAGAAAAATTATGGGTGTCCGTGTAAAGTTTGTTGTTATGGCAACATGTTCAGGGAAAAAAGGGCTCGTTTTCATCTTTATAGTGCATTTTGAAAGTTTTCTTTGCAATTTAAGAATTTTCATTGTGTCACCCACTACACCAGATCATCAGTGTATCTATTTATCTATCTTTTTTGTGCCAATATATTTTTCACAATGACTATTTCCTGCTTATATGTATTCGATATTACAAGCAAATATTTTCAAACGATGTTCTTATGCATAACAACATTACTATGCAGTTTAATCAGTTGTTTTACTTAACAAGGTGGTGATTGATTCAGGATTTGCTTTCTTTTATTGTTGTATATTATTGTATAAGTATCAATTCCTTTATTGTTTTAAATCATGTGATTGCAGAAAAATATTTGAACTGTTCATTTGTATTTTTATTTGTTCTAAAAGTTCTTTAAGTTCTAGAGTATTTTAGTTCTACGAATATTTAAGCAGGGAATGTTATTCGTTTTCAACATCTCTGTTCATTGGGCAATACCTTTGATTGTCGGTTTCTGCCTCTGTGGATTTCTTATTTGCTACATTTTTCTGAATTTTGGAAATCACATTTAGGTAGCGGCGCTGTCGTGTATGTTTCCCATACATAACTTGATTCGGCCCATTTTCATGTGCATCAAAATCGGGATATAAGTAAACTCAGCACCTGTGCTACATTTCATGGGGCACAGTTAGGACAAAGAAGGCGAAGACATGTAGTTACTCGGTTCACACATTATTTTAAGTGTGAAAAGAAAATGTCAGGGTTATCAATAAATTCAACGTGCTTTCGTCTTGGGAGTTCACCCCCTTGAGTTTACCAGAATCAAACCCTCTAAAGGGTTTTCCTGCGTCAGTAGCGACCATCTGAGTGGCCAATATTGCTGCTATTACGAAGTTAGTTTTCTGTGTCCGTAACTTGAGCCTCACGCTCACATGTCCACTCAGTATCTGTAAGACAAGCGGTTTCTCGTTAAATGACATTCGTCATAACTGTAAATTAGTATCTCTGAGACATGTGAACAGACTTGCTTTAGCAAATATACCCCCTGGACCTCACAGTAACATACGAAGCCAGAGTGCATTCCTGGTAACACATATAGACCGCGTCTACTAGTTTCTTTTTTGGCAGAAATAAGTCGACATGCCAAGAGATAGACCGATTTACTCACTCACTCAGCTACAAAAGAGCTTTCAAACTGCATCTTCTTGTTTCTGGTCTTTAATTTGATCTACTCCGTTCTTCCAACATAATACTCTATGGGAAATAGCTTCGAGTTTTTGTCACCCTCGAGGGTAAACAGTCGGCACCTTGTCGTTGACTTCTCTTGATAGACGTAATAGTATATGCAATATATAGATTTGACACGTAGATACTCTAACGCAGTCGTTGTGCAACTGAGTTTCGCAGAAATAACGCTATATAAGAAGGAGCCCCGTATCAACTTGCTACATAGTTTAGATGATAGCCACTTGCAAACACCGAAAGATAGTTCCCTATCTATGTGTTAGGCAAAGAGAAATTAAATTACACTTAAGCCTAGATTACATTTTCCAATCGTTCGGATTCCCGGCCTCCGTAGCCCTTAAAGCTTTGCCAAGCTCCAATCAAAAAAATTAAAAATCTATATGCCATGGGCCGTATCATTGTCAGCGGCGAGCGCTGATTCTTAGCTGAGACAATGTGGACCTCCGCGATTATCAAAGGTCATCACACAGTTTTCGGTCTTAAAATCTTTCTTAAATTTCGTATACGATCTCAGCCTGCCGTTTTTCTTTCTTGCCTTCCCCAACCGATAGTCATGCATTCTTTCGAAGGAAACCCGGATATCTTTGCTGAAGCATTATTTAAGTTTCATAAAGGCCTATCTCAGCACCATAAAGGAACGGCGCGGGGTATTTTGTTTCGTACCCCCCCTTTATTTTATTGACTCCATGGGACCCTATGGGGATTTAACAACATCCGTTTTGAATACTTTAACCAATTTTGATGGGGTGTTCTGCTTTATGGTAGACTAGTATGGCACGCGTAGATTGTTTTTAAAATATGTGTATTTAAAGTTTATGCACCTTTTTTTAAATCATGTAGCTATTTTACAACAACCGGTTTCTAACCAATCAAGGTGACATCCGAACGTGAGGTCAACGCTCATAGCAACGTGAAAATGACTCTACTCCAAGTCGCAGTTGCTGCTTTTCCCGATACGCCTATGCTATTGTGCGCACTCGTGGTGCTTTTCCTCCTTATTCTATGGAAACAACACAAGACTAACGGCCTCCCCCCGGGTCCCTGGGGTCTCCCAGTTTTCGGGGTTCTCCCCTTCCTCGGGAGAGATCCTCACCTCGTCATGATGGGATGGCGACATATTCAGCGTTAGAATGGGAACCAGGACAGCAGTTATATTGAACAGTTATGAAGCTATCCAAGACGTGTTTCAGAGAAAGGGAGCGTTGACTTCTGGAAGACCGCGTATTCCGACTTTTGATTTTCTCCATGGGAAAGGTGAGTACTTAATACATGTTGGACTGCATTGCGCACTTTGAATGTGTTAAATAGTGACTTACAGGAGTTAAGTAAGGTCGACAGTACATGTAGTGTCATCATGAGCATCATCATGATGTTATGAAAAACAGTTTACGTGATACCCCCACTCCCATGCGTGCTTGTGTTTTTATATAATGTAGTCACAGCTTCATGACACCTGTTGTGGGTTCACGTAGAAGAAATAAAACAACTGGGAGGGGAAGGAGAAGGTCAAGTTTGTGTAGTAAAAAAGACGGAAAAAGAAGAAAAATAGGAACATTATGTTGCATGTACAGTATTTACTCCAAACAACCGATTTATCAAAGCATTGCTTATACATTGCTTACTAATACCACGGCTGGGCTTCGAACAACAGGATAATTGCACTTGTAGTATCTATATACAGGCTTCAGTGCTTTTATCCTATTGTTGGAAGCGCCATCTGTGGTATTAGTCTGTTACAACTACTCGACAACCACTGTATGCGACATACAACAGTGGAGCTATTTCGGCTGCGCCTACATATAATTAGTCGCATAGTGATAATGATAAAGTGGACGACTTTGTTGTAACTTTTACATACATGTAGGTCAGGGTTGATGATTAGTTTGTGAATATGACTAAACCATGCAGGAGCTGAGACTGTGCTGTGCATAGTACACTGGCAAAGACAAGGTATAGAGATCTTATTTAGATTTACACGTTTGACGGTCTCATGTCTATTGTTTTTTTAATGTGGGCAATTTTGAGACAAAATCAAAAATCTGTTAGGTTGAAAAATATATGTGGTTCCATGAAAATAGCATCTGAACACTATTATTCATTTGGGTGAAATACGACGAAAAGTGTACATTACTGTTTCCACATTTCACATTCATATCGATTAGTTAACAACAAATGTACTATAGAAAATACAATTTTTTAAAGTAATGATTCCACTACCAAAAAGTGTCACCCCTATCGCATTTGTGTACAACTCTAGCCTAGCCTATCGAAAACAGCATCTGCATTTTTTCTTTTTAGGTATTTTATGCGCCGATTACTGTGCGCGGCAGAGGGCTCAGCGAGAATTTACCTTAAAATACCTAGCAAAAGCTGACACCGAGAAACAAACTGAGGATGAGATAGACGCTCTGCTGCAGTACATCCGAGATACAAATGGCGAACCTTTTGATTTCAACAGCACCATCAGTGCCACTATATCCAGCATCATAGAGAGTATCTTGTTCGGAAGCAAACTTGAGCAAGAAGGCCCAAATGTCAAAATTTTGGTCGATTCAATACAAGCTGCATCCAGATTAAGCGCCCAGGCCTCGTTTCAGAACTTCCTGCCATTTCTTTCGTTTTTACCGCAGTGTAGAAATGGAAACGAGGCATGGAAGGTATTTGCAAGCCACGTCACAAGGCTGCTGGAACGGCACATATTGGGTTATGATGCACGCGCCACGAGAGGCCTGGTCGATGCTTTTCTGCACCAATCAAAACGCGGTGACTCGGAGAATTATTTTGCTTTCAATGATGATGATCTAATAGCAAACTGCCAGACGCTGTATATTGGGGGATCGGAAACCACTTCGACCACATTAACTTGGGGAATGTTGTTCCTCTTATCAAACCCTGACGTCTGTGAAAAGATCAATGCAGAATTGGAAGAAGTCGTAGGAAAGACACGACGCCCCAGTCTTGCCGACAGGCCGAATCTCCCCTACGTTAACGCTACGCTAATGGAAATACAACGCTGCAATTATATTGGACCGCTGTCGCTTCCTCATAAAGCTATACGTGATACCACTATTAATGGCTACGTGATTCCTGAGGGAACACCAATTCTGGCAAACTTTTGGTCTGTGTTCATGAATGAAAAAAATTGGCCCAATCCTCGTGAATTTCGACCTTCAAGGTTTTTAGACGAAGATGGAAACTTGAAAAAGATCGAGACTTTCATCCCCTTTTCCCTAGGTAATATTTTGAAAACATCCTAAACCTTATTTCATTTATTCCATTTTATTAGCGATTTTTTTCAATACTTGATTCGCCACCTTCCGAGCTGATGACATTTTCCGCCCCAGTCAAAGACACGATGTAACCGAGTGTTTTTATATTTTCATAGCATGGCAACAATGACAAAGATGATCAGTTTTCCAAAATTTTATTCAGTTCAATTGTGGCATATAAAGTCATTTATCGGCCTGACGGTGGCATAATAAGGTATACAAAAAGAAGACATATGTAAGAAGACCTCATATATAAGGCCCCCTGACAGACAACTTCGGACAACGCCTAGAGCACACAACTGCACACAACACACGTGCCTCTTGGTCTCTGCACACACAGTGAATGAATACATATACAAGGTCAAATTCACCACGTGACTTCCAGAGTTACCGGAAGTTACATAAACTGCTAAATATTCATGAGTGTCTTGTCACTTGTCACATTGACATATACAATATTGTAAAATTTTGGCAGACATGTCATTCGAGCATGATCGGTGTACTCTATAACAAGCAATTTCTCTGTTCTTTTTATACAAATTACAACTGAATACAAATTAGAAATTAAAACACAAGTGGCAATTTAATTCGAATACAAATATTTATATTTTTGTTGTTCAAGGAAAGCGATCCTGCCCGGGAGAGACTGTTGCTCGTCAGGAAATGTTTCTGGTCGTTACTGCTTTGGTTCAGGCATTCACGTTCCACGTGCCAGAGGGAGAGGCGATTCCAGATCCAGATGGTAGCTTAGGACTCATGTACGAGCCCCCGAGATACCGGGTATGTGCCAGACCAAGGGACTAATTTATATCGCGACTCCTAGCCACCGGGATTGCTGTGAGCATATGTGGAAGATAGCATACGTAATAAATTTTGAAGAAATAAATTTTGAAATGCTGTCGCCTCCATGAATATATATCTTTTTGTCCCTTTCGTTTGGGGAGCAAACAACTTTCTGCGCTTGATTGTTTGTTGGTTAATTAACAATGTGAGATGAATTCGGCTGATGGCCACACCCACCAAATCCGTTTGGGAAAATAATTCACATACCCATTTTGCTGAAGCTCTTGGTGACATGCAGACATAAGGGAATACTGAGTACTTGATTTCACATGCTCGCTCACCCGATGAGGCGTTACCCTTACTTGATGAACTGTTCACAAATGCTACCGAAAAATGGAGAACATACACCTCATCTCCCCCCCCCCCCCCAAAAAAAAACAGTGACTTAAAATCACTTTCTTTCCTTTTCAAATATGTAGCAGAACTACGAAGAAAGAAATCCTTTGACTTTTCAGTCAATGCGTCCTATTATTTATCGCATTTACGCATTTGAATATCGCATTATATAACATACCAAAAATACAGTGATAAATAGTTGAATTATATGCATATCCGGATAATATCCAAATACAGATTCCCCTGTCTGTTAAATATGGTAATTTAAACTATGGGTTCATTTCCTATACACTGTAAGATCCATGTCGGTTACTTCTTTGTTTTTTTTTTTACTTTTCTTTTTTTGCATATTTTTCAGTTTTTTTCGCATATGAAGTATTTTCATAACCGATAACCCCTGCACATAGACTTCAGGCCATATGGCAGATAAAGATGAGAAAAATTATGAGTCTCCGTGTAAGTTATGTTGCTATGACAACATTCAGGAAAAAATGGTTTTTTTTTTAATCTTTATAGTGCATTTCAAAGTTTTCTCTGCAAATGAAGAATTTTCATTGTGTCACTCACTACACCAGATCATCAGTATATTTATTTATTTATTTATCTATTTATCTTTCTGGTGCCAATATACTTTTCACTATGACTATTTTCTAATTACATGTATTCAATATTATAAGCAAATATTTACAAATGAGGTTCTCATGCAAAACAACATTACTATACAGTATAATCAGTTGGTTTAATTACTTAATAAGTTGGTGGTTGATTCAGAATCTGCTTTTTTTATTGTTGCATATTGTTATTTATTGTATTTATATCATGTGACTGCAGGAATCATTTAAATTGTTCATTTGCATTTATATTTGTTCTAGTTCTTAAAGTTTCCATTGTCGTTGTGCATGTAGTATTTTAGCAGGGAATGTAAAACTGGGTTCCCATACCTACATGTAGATCCATCTACTGGTAACAGGATCGATCCATCTCCGAGGGGTTTCTCGCTAAATTGCTTTCAGCTTAGGCGGCTTAGATGTCTGGCACGCCTACTGAAGCTGCTAAACGATAACTAATTACTCCTTACGCGTGACAGACATCTGAGCCGCTTAAGCTGAAAGCAATTTAGCCCTCGGGGATGGATCGATTCACAGTTAGTATGATAGGGTCCGGGAATGGTCCCTAATTCGTTTTCAACTTCTCTGTCCAGTGGACAATGCCTTTGAATTTAGGTATCTGCCTCTGTGGATTTCTAATTTGCTACATTTTTCTGAATTTTGCTAAATTTTGGAAATCACATTTAGGTAGCGGCGCTGTCGTGTATGTTTCCCATACATAACTTGATTCGGCCCATTTTCATGTGCATCAAAATCGGGACATAAGTAACCTCAGCACCTGTGCTACATTTCATGGGGCACAGTTGGGACAAAGAAGGCGAAGGCATGTAGTTACTCGGTTCACACATTATTTTAAGTGTGCTTGTGTGAAAAAGAAAATGTCAGGGTTATCAATAAATTCCACGTACTTTCGTCTGGGGAGTTCACCCCTTGAGTTTATCAGAATCAAGCGCGCACCCTCTGAAGGGTTTTCCTGCGTCAGTAGCGACCACCCGATCGGCCAATGTTGCTGCTATTACGAAGTTCATTTTCTGTGTCCGCAACTTGAGCCTCACGCTCATGTGTCCACTCAGTATCTGTAAGACAAGCGGTTTCTCGTTAAATGATATCGTCATTACTGTAAATTGGTATCTATGAGACATGTGAACAGACTTGCTTTAGCAAATATACCCTCTGAACCTCACAGTAACATACGAAGCCAGCGTGCATTCCTGGTAACACATATAGACCGCGTCTACTAGTTTCTTTTTTGGCAGAAATAAGTCGACATGCCAAGAGATAGGCCGAATTTCTCACTCACTCAGCCACAAAAGAACTTTCAAACTGCATCTTCTTCTTGTTCCTGGTCTTAAATTTGACCTACTCCGTTCTTCCAGCATAATACTCTATGGGAAATAGCTTCGAGTTTTTGTCACCCTCGAGGTTAAACAGTCGGCACCTTGTCGTTGACTTCTCTTGATAGACGTAATAGTATATGCAATATATATAGATTTGACACGTGATTCTTAGCTGAGACAATGTGGACCTCCGCGATTATCAAAGGTCGTCACACAGTTTTCGGTCTTAAATTCTTTCTTAAATTTCGTATACGATCACACATCGACCTCGGGGTCAATCCAAAAATACCGGTCCAATGGCAAGACTCCATTTCATAAAGCCCCTCACATGCTACATTAAAAGCAAGGGGTTTCACTGCTCTCAAAACGACGAAGACTCCGAAAGCGTTTATCGTGGATTTCTACCGATGTAGAATGTGGGGTTAACAAAAGATGAACCCAGGGCGTAGCCGCGGGGGTTTAGTGTAAGTGGAGTGAGTCAGAGTGTGATTTGACGGATGTCTGTATTTTATTTTAAATTTTTAATGCACGCGTGGGGTATTTTGTTTCGTATCCCCCCCCTTTATTTTATTGACTCCATTGGACCCTATGGGGATTTAACAACATCCGTTTTGAATACTTTAACCAATTTTGATGGGGTGTTTTGCTTTATGGTAGACTAGCATGGCACGCGTAGATTGTTTTTAAAATATGTGTATTTAAAGTTTATGCACCCTTTTTTAAAATCATGTAGCTATTTCACAACAACCGGTTTCTAACCAATCAAGGTGACATCCGAACGTGAGGTCAACGCTCATAGCAACGTGAAAATGACTCTACTCCAAGTCGCAGTTGCTGCTTTTCCCGATACGCCTATGCTATTGTGCGACTCCTAGCCACCGGGATTGCTGCGAGGATATGTGGAAGATTACAAAAGTAATGAATTTTGAAGAAATAAATTTTGAAATGCTGTCGCCTCCATGAACATATAAGAGCAGATCCTTCGAATATTTCTGGCCCTTTCGTGTGGGGAGCAAACAACTTTCTGCGCTTGATTGCTTGTGTGTTAATTGATGTTGTGAGATTAATTCAGCTGATGTCCAAATCACCCAATTCGTTTGGGAAAATAATTCACATACTTATTTTGCTGAAGCTCTTGGTGACAAAGAGAATACTGGTTACTTTTAGTCACAATTGCTCATCCGATGAGGCGTTACCCTTAGTTAATTAAATGTTCCCAAATCGAAAAATGGAGAAAGTGCACCTCGTCCCCCCCTCCAAAGAAAGCAAAAAAGGGCTTTAAATCACTTACTTTCCTTTTCAAATTTTAAGCTGAGCTACAAAAAAAGAAATCATTTGACTTTTCAGGCAATGCGTCCTGCTATTTATCGCATTTACACGGCACAATATGAGCGAAAAATGAATATAAAGTTAACTACATCAAGCTGGAATCCATGGAATATTAAAAAAAAAACGCATATACAATTAAATGAACTGTGTGTCAAATAATAAAAATTGGAGAAATTGGAGGCAATGAACTCGAGTCTCAATCGGCATTTTCTTCTCATTCATCACGAAAGAAGCTAAAGACGAAGTATATGCTGGCTGCACAGAGCACTGAAGAAAACACAGACATAAACAAATCAATTGCCTGGCTAATATTACAACTTATTAAGCTGTACTTGAAGCAGCTCTCCTTTTTAGCCACCTTTTTAGTCCATCTGCAACACTACAGGCTTCAGTCTTTGTGGATATGCTGTAGTCACGCCTCTCTCTCTCTCTCTCTCTCAGTGTAGCCATGTTGTAAACGACACTAAAATATTTCTAAATTATGTAATACCTTTGACAGCCCTCATTTTCCTAATGAAGTATGCCTGTCAGAAGACGAAATATTGGCTGTCAAAATTCAGTTAAATTTTTTATAGCTATTGGCAAATGGAACTTTCTTTGTTTATTGAAATCAAGCTGCACAGCAATGTTACAGACGTAACATACAAACACATAAATAGCTACATAGAGTTTAATAACTTTTTACTTGCTCATTTGTCACACTCCATTTTTAACAGGGTCTAGGATTTGAAGTCGCACGCTACTAGTACTTGTAACGCTTCCAACAGACATACCTAACTTTTTAACACAGTGTATTGTAAGATGAATGTTAATGCCCATACTCTGGCACGACTTACCCTAAACATATTGGATTTCAATTCCGAGAACTACTACTATTCCTATCACACTGGCAATACACCTAGGAAAAGGAGGGTGTGTAACTTGAACTGAATATGTTCATAAACAGTAAGCTAAGTAACAACAGTCTTTGCTTCAGACAGTCATTGTGGATAAGCTCGTGGTGCCGCCGACCCCTGCGTTTATCGTAAACGAAACTGTACTCCCTTGTTCCCGGTACTCCTTTACTCCCTGTAGCACGAGTTTCTTCTCGCGCTATTAAGACCAGAGAATCTTTCCAATCCAAGCAGCAAAAAGTTCCTTTCAACATTATGAATATTTTATATCAATAATACCGAAACCACAATGCTGCTGACAACATAACTAGGTGAACGTACACGCGTGTTTCCCTTGCAGACACCGCTGCCCCGAATATGTGGGTAGTATGCCGGTTAATAACAGCACGATGAACGCGTTAGAGCATGAAATACTGTGAACTATTACGGTGACATTACATTTTGCTGTATTCCAGATTGGTAAGAATCTTAGAAACTGCATTTAGGCCTCAAGGCTTGAAACGGTATTACAGTATTACCAAGCGGTGTGTATTTAAAAACTGAGACAGTGACAGCATAAGCGGGACTGAAGTTTGAGCTGTGTTAAGCCCATATATATATATATATATATATATATATATATATATATATATATATATATATATACGTGAATACTGGGGAAAATTGTATACTTATCTTTTACATGTTAATGTTCAATGACTAGAATAAGAAATTTAAACCCATAACATTGGTAGTTTGAGGCTGTAAAAGAAACAAAAATAACATGGACATACGCAAAACCAATAACCTGTGAGACTTGTCCAAAATAATTG